AGGCGGAATCCTTCAAAACATGGGGTCCGTGGGGGGAAAAATGATAATAAAAGGGGTCCTTGGTGGAGAAAAGGTTGGGAATCACTGGTCTATTGTGTTTCATTTGATGATCGTGATAGTGAAATATTATTCGGAACATGAATCTCTATTCCAACAAGCATCACATGTAAAGGAAGGCGAGATATCTTGTATCACGTTTCTTGTCAAACCTTCTATTGTGCTTGGAAGTAAGATTCCAATAATATTTCTAAGAAAAACAAAGACCAAAGATATAGAAGTCATTTGACAATGCACTGCGAGCCCCAAGGAGATAGCTGTGTTTCCAGTTTCTTCGGTCATTTTATCAACAAAATAGTCCTGATTTCAAGGTGTAGCAACAGCTTATAAGCTTTTTATCTTGTTAACACTAGCAGGAGACAAGCCCAGCTTCACCGCAAGGTTCTTTACCGAAACCACATTCTTCACTTTTTTCAAGAGGACGTTGTTCCAGATTGGCTTGGGGCGTGGTTTTGGATCACATTTCTGTGCTAAACGTTCTGCCACGCGATTGTTTGTGTTTTCAAGAGGAACATCGACATTTCCATTCTTTGAAATGTCGCATTCTACATGGAATAAGAATCCCAATACATTAATATATGCTCTCAGACAAATTCTTTCCGCCAAAAATATGCACGTGGCGGCATTCCACACAGAATGGAGTGGAGGAGGAATATACGTCTTAAAAGCACGCGGCTCGCATCCCCGTTAACAAACCACAGCATTAGTACAAGTAAATCGATCTTATAAAGTTCGATTAACCCTTAACATGTAGCTACATAAACATGTAGCTTTGCATATATATTGTATACAATAGTAATAAAAAATGTGATTTCTCGTTGCACTATAAGAACAAAGTGACTTATGTAATAAAAAAAAGGTGTATCCAAGAAGGTAATCATTTATCTGTAGCCTCGTGGGGAAGTTATACTGTACATACTTCCCAGCAATCACTGCAAATCTCAATATATTACTTACTAATTTCGGTTCTACTTAGAATGGTGATTACTGCGCCCTGATGAAACAGCATAAATTTACATAAATCTCTTATTAGAAACTTTAGTATAGTCTTATGTAAGCTTGAACAAATTTTGAACTGTTCTCTGAAGTCTCACGGTGGACTTGGAGAGCCTCGCTTTTCTTATCTTTCCAATTTTGAACTTAAAAACAAAAAATAATGTTTAGCTTACTTGTTGTAAAAGGCAGAAATATCGTAAAACCTTTACAGATAAAAAGCAAATGTGATACATTATACATGAATGTCAGCGGTTTTGTTGAACTTTGAAGCTTTATTTTCTTAAATTTTAATTTATAACGTATAAAATGATTATTAGGTCCACCAGTTTAAACTGGTTATATTTTTACTTCTAGTTTTCTCAATATATATTTTTATAAGTTCTACTATGATTTAAAATGTTTAATCACGTTATATGATTCGTGTATGAATTTGTACGGAAAGCTAATTTTTATTTTATGCTCTATATATATATTCCTTTTATTTGAAAAAGTTGATTCCTGATATTAAATCACGGAGAATTTAAATCTCAAAACCGGTATTTCAGTTGACCACATAAAATTTAATAAACATTATTGACATATAAATTATATCGATCGATAGATTGGGTTATGTTAGCAACAAAGCCATAAATCCAGCGTTACAAAATGCAGATAAAACAGGCTTCATATAACAGATATCGATTAGATAAATGCCGAAACAAACTTAAAAGATGAAGTTTAAGTAACACGCATAATCAGTGTTATTTTTGTAAATTTCATTAAGTAAGAAATTAGAGGACGTGATATTACGACGATTTGTATCATATAGTATTTCCACTCGCCTTAAAAGTTTTCATCTCGTCGAGCTTTTGTCAGCTTAATTCTTATCCTACTTTTACAAAATATGTTTGATAGCTGCATTTAAAGTGTTTCTTTACAAAGCAAGTTATGTCTTCTCTTTTCAAGGATGATTGATTCCCTACTTTCCACGAAACACGTGAACTTTGACTTTTCCATTATTGGTCGTTGAAATGCTGGTAAAGAAAATACGAGTGAGCCTGAAGCTCTTCAATTTAGGTGAACGATATTTTCCTATCTACTTTTTTTTTTTCTTTTCGCTGTATGTTGGAAACTACCAATTAACCTAATGTCTATCTCATGGTTATCGATGTGTAACATATAAAGCAACGTTCTACAATTTAAAACTTATTAATCTTCCAACAGCCTGGTTATAGAGGATGTATTATGTTTGAGAATTGCAGTGTATAGCTTCCATAGACGATAAAACGACTTTTCTACAAGTGTAGAAACGCTTCTATAGGCAAACAAAAGATGTACCCGAGTTAAGAAAAGGTTTTAAAAAAATAAGAACACGGTATTTGTGTATAGATATTTATCAAAAACTCAATTAAAACAACGTTTAAAAGAACACAATAATTGAAGGCACCACCCATGCAACAAATAGATTCTTTAGTAAGCCTTAGTACCTTTGATAATTTTAGATTTATTAGTTTGTTTGTTTGTAATTAAGCACAAAGCTACACGATGGGCTATCTGTGCTCTGCCTACCACGGGTATCGAAACCCGGATTCTAGCGTTGTAATTCCGCAGGCTGTGCCACTGCGGGCAGATTTATTAGTAATATTGATTTTAGTTTAAGAACGTATGTATATACTTGCAAGGGAATTAATTCCTTAGACATGGCTAATTTGCATCACCAAAATATTGTTGGCAACGCACTTTTGAAAATATAAAATATAAAGTGTTTGTTATATTTTTAATGTATATTTTTTTAGTCTGCTACTCCTCCATTCAGAATCATGGCGAAGCTTACAAATAGCTTTTTACCTCACAATCCGATGGAACTTTAGAGCGATGTAAGTTTGTTCAAGAAGAAATCAACATAACATAAAACTAAACATGAATAACAGTACTTTTAGCATTTCTAATATTAACATTTATTACTAACATAACACTAAAACAAAGGATATTTGGGAAAAACAGTGTTCAGAGCTTGACCGAAACATTTCTGATGCAATTGGAAAGACAAGTGACAATGTTTTTTTTTTCTATCTAACATTTCAAGTCGGCATTGGAGAATTTTCTCTAGTCTTTTCTCTGTGTATGGCTCTCCTATTTCGGAGGAAACAGAGATTGGCCTTAATCCACTTGGAAAGGCAACAAAAAGTAGTTTTCAAAACAAAATGTTGATCTTTACTTCTTCAAGATTTATATATTGGAGACAGACAAACATAGAGGTGATTAATAATAGAAATATGCATGTCTGTCTGTTTGTTCCTTGTCTCAATACTCCTAATTCGTTGGGCCAATCTCAGCCAAACTTTGTGGAATGATAATTAGAAACAAGAGACATGTTATTAGGGGGAGACCACAGCCCCTTCCACTCCATTATTGCTGTTATTGAACTTTTTTTTTATATTTGACGTAAGTTAACGTTAACTACATTCATAGATAGCACCATATCCTTACACCAAAATAAAAACTATTAGGTTATATACATAAAATACAAGAATCTGTATGTCTGTCTGGTTGTCTGTTATCTAACTACCTCTAGATCGCCGGGCCAATCTCAACCAAACTTTCAGGGATGAGAGTTTGAAACAAAGGGCATGTTAATGGTGGGTTCACAACTGCCTTCATCCCCCATTATTGTTGTTATTGAGCATTTATTATCTTTGGCATACGTGAACGTTAACTACATTCATAAATAGTGTCATGTCCTTATACCAAATATAAAAAAAAACATTTTTAAAAAATTTTCTATAAAACAACATACTCACAGTGTGGGGGGAGAGCACACAAACGTTTAATGTATTTCAGAGCGTTCACTAGCACTCTCTGAATAAATGTAATGGCAAAAACAAAAAACGGCCACCACTATTGCAATACAACAGAAACTCAGCTAACGTTTCTACTCCAACAGCACCATAAGGTTGATATTAGGAGCCGTTACAGAGTCATACCCACTTCTTACTTTGACCCGTGACCTTTCAACTTCGACACGTAAGACACTTGTGCTGCAATGACCGTCAATTAAGTAATCACGTGAAAAACTGCAGAATGACATTAAGAGCTGCTGGCTGTTAAAAGCTGGTAACAGAAACCACCCTTACCGCCACTACTTTCTCCGCTGCCTCTTCTTACAAAGCCACCCTGACCACTGCACAGTGCATACCATGTTTTAAAGATATACATATAGAGTTCTTGGCGAGGTAATAATGAATACTTTAATAATATGTTATAAATAAATTGTTTGAAAGTTAGGATTTTGTGTTGTTTTATCATAGCATCCACCTCGACATTTTTTTAAGTTCATAACCCGGACAAAGGACGGTATCTCAGCTTGTATATACATGTATTTCAGACACTACTCTAGTAGCTGTATGATGGATAATATGTTAGTGTGTGTGTGTGTATAGACATGTATATTACAAACATTTAAATATTAGTAAAGAGAACAATAATAAAATTTAGATTGTTCAGTATTTACTTCAATATCTCTAAAAGAAAAAGACTGACCAGATGACATAGGACTGTGGGTAATTCCCATCGTAAGCAGGCAACCAGCTCAAGGTAGCCGAAAAAGCACTTGTTTTGATCGTAATGTTCAAGGGAGCGTGAGGCGTTGTGCCTGTAAAAAATATATATATTGTGGAATTATCAATTTGAGTGTTTTGTTGGTTTTTTTATCGACGAAGTATTGCAACAAATTTAATTTTTCCAGTTATCTTGTTCATCTGATTATTTAATAAATTTAGTAAGAGAAACATATTTTTTTAAGTGGTTGAAGTACAGAGTTACTATTATTTGGGAAGTAGATACTCAAAGTTTTTTTTTTTTCTGAAACAAAATATACAATAGGAAAAAAAAAACAACGTCCCGGTGTTTACGTTTAATGAAAACGCTGAGCGTAAATACAGTTTACATTTTAAAAAAGACATAACCTCCAGACCAGGATTTACCTTCAACGACAAGCAAAGTACTTGTGACGAGTGTGGCAATGTCATTCTGAAGAACACACTCGTAACGACCATGGTCCTCCTTCTTCAGCGTCCGTATCGTCAGATTACCGTTACGCTGAGAGCTTCTGTCACGTGAGAGCTTCTTGCTGTCCGCCTGCAGAATAACATTACCTTGAGTAGGTTTTACGACACAGGGTGGATCAAGAGCGGAGCGAGTTTTTATGAAAGCTTGCTGAGCGTTGAATGAGACAATGACAAAAATCCGTTACATCTCATTATGAATGTTTACTTAAGTATGTTAGTGACTATGATGATATTATACAGTCACGATATCAAGGCCTACCTGTCTTAGCAATAATAATAATACTCTTTATACTTTTTAAGTTATTTTGGACTGTCAGATCGACATGGAAAAAAAAAAAGATATTTCATATCAATGATATAAACATGGGTAGCCTAACTCATTTAAATATAGATGTTATTTCCTTCTGTAGCAAATACGTTGCAAGACACTGATGTACAAACCCTCCTCCACTCTATTGTTGGCTTTGGTTGTCCTTTACCATAACAAGGCATAGTCACTTCGCTGTTGACACGTCGCTGATACTGCTCTTCAGGCTTCACAGTGAACACCGGTGGATCTGAAGAAAATCAAAACAGATTATTGACTTTTCTTGTTTTCCAATTGTTAATCTGACGGAAAAAGAGAAGCAGCTTCAGAGAATGGATCACTATTTGTATGTTGACGTTGAGTAAGTGAATTCATTAGTTGTTTATTTTTGTTTTTCTTGAAAGAAATGACAGTTTTGACGTTGAAGTGATGAAAGCTCTGAAAACTAAAACTAACTGAAGATCCGTATTTATATATATACAACTTCTAAGGAAACACGTGAAAATGTGGAAACATCCCAAAACCATAAAAATCAGATTTGGTTTTCGAAATTTATACTAAATGTGACTCAAAGTCGCGCTTTATTTCGGTAAATAACTCTGACTCATTCCAGCTTTATTTTGATAAAGAGTAGATTCAATATCGCTTTAAAACTAGTGAATAAAAGCCTAATTATCACCAACTTTTGAAATGTAATGAAATCACTCTCGCAGAATTGAAATTTTTAATTTCATAATGAACAGTTTTAGTATTCTTTACAATTACGCGTATATTCACCTACCTTTACAACTACACGTATATTCACCTACCTTTACAACTATACGAAGGGTAGGTGAATATATACGTGTAGTTGTAAAGGTAGGTGATTATACGTATAGTTGTAAAGGTAGGTGAAGATACGTATAGTTGTAAAGGTAGGTGAAAATACGTATAGTTGTAAAGGTAGGTGAAAATACGTGTAGTTGTAAAGGTAGGTGAATATACGTGTAGTTGTAAAGGTAGGTGAATATACCTGTAGTTGTAAAGGTAGGTGAATATACGTGTAGTTGTAGAGGTAGGTGAATATACGTGTAGTTGTAGAGGTAGGTGAATATACGTGTAGTTGTAGAGGTAGGTGAATATACGTGTAGTTGTAAAGGTAGGTGAATATACGTGTAGTTGTAAAGGTAGGTGATTATACGTGTAGTTGTAAAGGTAGGTGATTATACGTGTAGTTGTAAAGGTAGGTGATTATACGTGTAGTTGTAAAGGTAGGTGATTATACGTGTAGTTGTAAAGGTAGGTGAAGATGACAACTACACGTATATTCACCTACCTTTACAACTATACGTATATTCACCTACCTTTACAACTACACGTATATTCACGTACCTCGCACTAATACTTCCATCCTATTCGATTGCCCCGCTGTACCATATACATTATATGGAGTGCAGATATACCAACCCTGGTGCTCATGGGTCACCCTCTGTATCTGCAGAGAACCATTGTTTAGACTTATTACCCCATAATGAGCTTTTGGGTCAAACGGACGATCATCTTTACTCCATTTGATATGTAGAAACGGGGGGTTAGCTTGCACATAACAATGGATAATCCCGGACAACCCCAGAGGAAGATATTGGATGGTCGGGGAATAAGTAACCCTAGCTGGATCTGTAAGACAAAACAGAGCTTAGTGTAAATTATCAACTGAAACTGAATATTAAACTTGATGACACTTTGAATAGATCTTTAGACTATCAGAGCCTCAAATGTAAACCAAAGTAGGGTTAATAAAGAACTTCAGATGTTGATTATACTAACACACCTCATTAGAAGACTTGGAAATGGACAGTCTTGACTAAATCTGTATACAACAAGGAACGAAGAGTAAACTATAACATTTATCTGCACATTTGCTAGTTGTTCTTGTTGTTTTCAGTATTTTCACTAAGATTATAATATTAATTGAACATGGTTTAGCTCGGAGGTATCTATCTGTCTTAAGAATCACTTAACTATCAAGAATATTTCTGAGTTCTTTGTTTGTTATTAAGCACAAAGCAAAACAATGAGCTACGTGTGTTGGGCTAACCATGTGTACCAAAACCTTGTTTTTAGCGTTATAAGCCTTCAGTCTTATCACTGAGCCAACTGAGAATATTGTTTTTCTAGAACTAAAATTAACAAAGAAATCACAATCATTTGATAAGTATTTGTGTGTAAACATTGCGTAAGTGTATTATTAGTCAACAATTAAAACACTTATTTTTATTTTGTTTAATTAATCTGTTACGTATAAAATCTAATAGTGATAAAAAGTATGATTTTATTTCTATTATTGACATTTTAATAGTATCGCTGCTTATCGTGTTTTTTAAGTGCTCATTAGATTGAATATTAAAGACAAGAAAACTGATATAAGTTTGAATATCTGATCCTTACAGTAATGACTTGGGAGTGATTGACCAAAGTGATAATTTGTGATATTTGATGAACATAAAAGATTTAGAACGATACCTATATTTTAAAACTTTTGTTGAATGGTTTAGTGAATTGTTTGGAAGTTTTTTTTTTCATAGTTATTACACATAATAACATAAATAACACATAACAACACAAAATAACACAAAATAATACAAATAACACAAAAATACTTCCACATTTTCTAATTTTGTTAAATGAGGCCAAAAACATTAGATATTTATGTAATGATCTAAATGTTGCCAACAAACGCATAGTAATATTTATCATGACCAGACCAATAGTAATTAGAGTCGTAGAATGTCAAAGTAACATCAGGATACAATGTATACAAAGCATGAACCGCAAACTATTGTTAACAAATAATTAAACTTCTGTCAGATTTATCCACCATGTGAAAACCATGTGTAGCAATATTGTAACTAAGAAAAAATTTGGTTAATTAGTCCTACGTTTTATATTTAAACTATAATTTATCTATTTGTTGTTTTAAAGCGGCTTTCCCCATATGTTTCATAAAAAGGATTTATTTTATTTATGGTTTAGATGATAAAACTAGAAAATTTCTCAGTCACTTATAATACGCTCATCCTCTCCTCCCTCAGTGACTCAGCGGTAAGTCTGAGGGTTTATTGGGCTAAAAATCGGGTTTCGATACTCACGGCTGGTGCGACACAGATAACCCATTTCATAGTAGCTTTGCGCTTAACAACAAACAAAATTTATAATCCGCATATGTAAAAAAAAGGTTGGATTTAATTAACAGAATATCTGAAAAGTGCCAATACAATATTATAAAGTGTATGACCAAGAAATTGATAATTTGTCAAAGTCACTTTCCTCATATCTTTAGCAATTTATGAGACTTTTATTTTTCTATTTCATCTCGTCAAACTTTTACGACTCCGTAGTTCGTGTAATACGTTGATGGAAAGCAAAGATTTAATCGGCACGTGGTGTATACAAAGATAATGGTCCTGCAAACAAGATTTTTGTATACAAAAATTTCGTATTTCTCGTACCACGCGCGTGAGTCAGCGTGTATATTACATTTCCAGATCATGTAAACTATTCTAAGAAAATAGTATGAAAATAAAACAATGTGACAATTTAAACGAATAGTGACGTTTATTTTACACACTTGAATTTCATTCCTGTGAATAATATTTTAAGCGAAGGAAAATGTAAGAGCGTGATTTATTGCTGTAGGTTGTCATTGCAAATTTTTCTAACAGATGGCTACTGGTTTGTGATTTTTCACATCTGAATTTTAATTCTTAGGTAGAAAATTGTGATAGATTAAATGTCTACTTTCATATCATTTTCCATAAGAAATAAAGTAGTTTTTCCCGAATCTATTACACTGCACTTCTTACATTTTTGGAGGATCTGTCATGTAAGTGAGGAACGACCGTTTATTATATTCCTTCTATTATCAATCAGAATCACTTTATGTTTTATCTCCTTCATTTCCAACTGAAAAAAATAAGCCTTGGAACCTGGACGGCAGTAAGTTACTAGCTTATGAGTACGAAACAGAATCACACTATGCACTTTTAGGTCATTGAAGCACTAAATTAATGAGAGTCGAATCCCACTATTTAGTCAGAAAACAATAACTCAAGAGTTGGCGATGGATGTGGATGACTAGGTGACTTTCCTCTAACCAGGTATGTTGGCACCCACTAGGGGTGCGAAATGAGTGTCCAGAGGGTGCGCGGAAGAGGTCCGTTTTTTTCCAAATGTCGCCAAGAGGAAATGTCTAATGCACACCTTTTAGGGGAGGGTGCGAGGGCCACAAAAGGATGGGAGCCATTGCATACTAATCTATCAAAACAAACCCTTGAA